GATATTTGAAATATGTAATTTGGATATTTCACAGTAATAATATTTCAAATTGATGAAGGCAATTTTTACAATTTTACATTCCTCAAATCAATGCAGACGATTTGTGACTACGACATTCAATGAAAATGTTATGCCATTATAAATTCTGATTTCACGGAAGACAGGTTTCCCAGAAAAGTTCGCAAGAAACCGATTTCACCGATGCGGAAAATAAAGGTACACACAAAAGCGTGAAAATGGCGAAATGGAAAAAGCGTCTTGGTGGTTCGCAAAGCGTTGTCGCAAAAACGTGGAACGGAGGCGGTGCAATTTAAAGAAGTGCACATGAAACCGAAGCGAAGAACGTAGATCCGTGTTATCGTACATATATGGAAGAAGCTCCTCATAAATATCGATGGAACCGTTTGTCCGCATACGAGTGGAAGATTATTTTTTAGAAGAATTATGTTAACCAGAATCGATCATCTTTCCCACTCACATTATTTTTATAACAACAAGAAATACCGAAATAATTGTCAATTTACATTATCCTTCGCGTAAGAAAATAAGGATACCTTTTACGTACTTACTTTCCTTTGTTTCCCTTTCGTTATGTATTTTTCATACATTGCAGGAAATTGGGAACGAATTCTTAAAGAATTTACTGGAGGAACTGTTCTCGCTTGAAAGAATTCGACGGATTTTTCAAACATTCGGCTATGAAAACGCGGCAAGCCTCTGCGCACCGAAACGGATGAATGGCCGCAATATAAAATGCAAATGACACTTTTTCGCCAAACTACGGGGGTGTCTGGTTTTCGGTGAAAAGCCGTTTAAAAAAAGCTACCACCGCAGATGTTGGACGAAAAAGTTTCTGAGAGGTGCACCGGGCGACATGACGCATGCTCGTGAAAACTTGGTCGCGCGGTTCACACTATTTATCCTCTGGACCATTTGCACTCTTTAAGAGAGAAGCCTTGCGAATAACTTGTACGAGTTCCCAGTGAACATATCATTTTCCTTGCACACTCTTTTGTCAATGGTCTCGTACGAATTAGGGAGGTAGAAGAACATTATTACACGCATATGACAGGAAAGATGAAAGAACAGTGCCGAGAAGTGCTCAAAGAAGACTTCAGCGATCGAATTTTCTAATGTTTGACAGTTCTCTCTTCGATCGCAAGCGTTTCGATTTCCGCTTCCAAACTTCCGCTTAAACGTTCTCGCTTCTTGTGTGTCGCTATTTACGGACCGATCTCA